TTTTTTTTTTTTTTTTTTTTTTTTTTTTAAAGTAACAGGTCCTTATGGTCCTGGCTCCATATCCATTCTGGGGAGCGTCAGTCCCCGGTTCCTATTCCCCTGGCAAGCACAGTAGCAGTATTACATCATATACCGACTCACGCATCCTTCTGTCTGGCCGAAGGATCCCTGATCAGCATTGATTACTCCACTTGGTGGAGGATTGACTGTCAGCTTGCCTTCCCCTGTCATTCCTCTCAGAGTCCTCATCAGAGACCCTGTCAAAAAGGGGCTTAAATGCAAGAAACACAGAGAGAGGAACTTCGGCAACTCTTAAGTGCCATGACACAGGTTGTTTGTAAGCGTGCCCATGGTCATATGTACGAGCTATGTAGCTCTGACGTGTTGAGGCTGTGGGAGGTGATTGTCCTGTACTCTCTGCAGCGGGCAGGAGTTGTGCCAGTCTTTCCATCTGAGGTGAAGTCCATGAATGCTCGCAACCTTTCCCTTGACCAGCCATACGTTTTTGAACTTCGCTAGAATCTCTTGCTGCTTCTCCCTCCTGATTCTCCTGATAAATCCATTGGGAGAAGACTTCAGTCTCCATTAAGGATTTGGTTGTCGCCCATACCCACCTTTTCACATGGATTGCTGCTGCAGTTGTCCAATGCTCTGCTGCACCTTTCCTTCCACTTCCATATGACCCAGAGTGTCACCTTTTGAAGTTTTGAATGATGCCAAACCAGATGCCCGCAGACTTGTTAAAGTTAGTGGGAACTTTGGTCCAGAGAAGAGCAGTTGGATTGGGTGTTCGCCACACTGTTCGGGTAAGGAAGACGAAAACAGGCAAGCAGTTCCAGGGGACAGATGCTCTGCCCAGTCGTCCGTAGCGTCCTTGCATGTGATCACGCAGTGTACGATGTTTTCCTGTTCGTTGTCTGAGCACACTACACAGAGATCTGAGCTGTTCGGGTCGTTCTTTCTCCTTCTGATATGTATGTAACCAACTGTCCACGGGTCGTGCATTGTAGGCAATGAGCCGCTGCAGACTTCCTATTTTAACCGGGCGTATTGATTTATTTATATTTCTGCCAAGGAATTTTGGATATTTGTTTCTGCTTCCTGGTCCAGTATTTTGTTCCACCTAACTTAAATCACCGGATCTGGTGTCCTTTCGTCTTTAGCAGCATTCTGTAGCCCATTTTCACTGTGTATCGTATGACATTAATGGGAGTTTTGCAATATCTGTTGTTACAGGAGGACCATGCCCACTCATGTGGGTCAAACTCTAGTTCTTGGATTGCTGCCTCAATTTGGAAGATTGCCTTTGGCCAACTGTGTAATACGCTTATTTTTCGAAGTGTGAATGAGCTCAGGACTGGGCCTAGCTCAGTTGGTACACCCATGAACTGTTGAAATACAGACCCAAGTTCGAATCCAGATACAATCAGATCACCAGAATAACATCATTCTGAATTACTTGGGGCCGGTCAATTTAATGATGATATCTCAAGGCCGTCGCCCTTTATAAAATTAAAAAAAAAAAAAAAGGGACTGACTGTTGCGCATCTGTGTTGTAGATGAAGGGAGATGCAGGTTTGTGTTGTAGATGAAGACCCCCGGAAGGTCTAATCCCGAAGGTCTGTCGGAGAATTGGTATGCCCTTGCAGGAACTGTCTCTTGTGTCAGTACTTCCCACTCGCCTGGCTTCCAAGAGAAGTCCTTGAGTAAATCTTTCCATCCATCGGGGATACTACACCATTTGCAGGTTTTCATCTCTGTAGTGGTAGCCCTTCAGGCATGATTCAACCTTTTCCTCATCAATCCTGTCGTTTCTATCTTCCTCCCAGATGTGACTGACCCTCCATACTCCGTGCTTGACGTGCTTGATCCATGAGAACCATTGCTGGGCATTTGAAATTGAGAGGGAGGGGTCGTTTTCGCCTCTCACACACGGGTTCCCAAACAGGGGTTGCCGCAAGACTTCCTCCTTAGATTTGGGTTTCTTGCTTTTGGGGGGCATAATTTCCGTCCATATGTGAATAAGAGCAGTCCAGTAAGGAGTAGGGGGGCGTGAATCGTTCGGTGAGGTGTTTGCTGGCCTTCTCCTGCGGCCAGTTTTCGGGGTCCACTCCTTGTTCATTACCCAGAATAGGCCTGCCATGTTGGTTGGACTGTGGATGGGAGCCATGGCTCTGATGCTGTCCAACGCTAGTTTGTGCCATGCCAGTCTGGGTTGGGTTAGCAGCTTAATGATCCACTTGATATGAAGGGCTTTGATTTCCTGCTTCGGATCAATGATTCCTAGACCCTCCTTAGAAGGCCTTCTTGTTATAAAATGCCAGGCTATCTTGGGTATGTATTTAGTTTTGTTTGGGTCGCCTGACCAGAGGTATGCCCTGGCTCTGCGGTTCAATTCCTTAGTTGTGTGATCAGGTATGGTCCGGATGGATGCAATATACCACATCACAGAGAAGATAGATGTGTTGATGGTCAGGACCCTTCCTTACAAAGAGGTGAATGTATTCCCCCATCGTCCCATTCTGTTCATTTGGTTAGTTAGCAGGTTTTGTGCCAT